TTTTATTTCCATGGAAGTGGAAATGCAGTTGTGCTGTGTGGGTTTCCATCTATTCGGTAGCAAAATGGAAAAGGAAAGACTGGAGCAGAAGATAGATGAAGACAGATAAAGGAAGAAGAGCCTTTTAAGCTTTTAATCTAAAAGGTTAAAAAAGAGGCTAACGTGGGGGAGGACAAAAAATGGAGCTGAAAAAAATAAAGAACATCCGAGCAAAATTTAGTAAGCTGCCTGAAAAAAAAATAATTAAAAAAATCTGTTTTGAAACCTGTGCAGTGAAAATGGCAACTCTCATATCCCCTGCACTGCCAGCGCCGGGCTTTCCATCACCCTGGATGTGACAGCAACCCTGCAGCAAGGAGCTACACATCCAAATCGCCTGCAGCTTCCATGGGCTGGCAGAGCACACGCTGACGCATTGCACGTGGCTCCCAACAAACCTTACCCAGCACGGCTTGAACCGGCACAAGGTCAGGATCTTGAGGGTCATTTTCTCCTCCCTGGCATTTTTCACTGTCGGTTGTGGCCTGCTACCTGTGCTACGCTTATTGATCTGACTGCGTGAAATACGGATTTAGTGGACGGCAGATATTTGTATCAACATTTTACAAGTTTAGCAATGGAAATTCATGTTTCGACTTCCACGTGAGCCATTTTAAATCAAAGACTGGACTCCTTCTTTCAGATATCTCCTAAAGGAATAATACAGCTCTGCAGACATTACCAGCTAAAACACAGTTAAAGATACACCTGAAGCTAAAGCTGAGTTGCAATCACACAATTTGCCTGACTAGGGCTCTAGAAGAGCATCTATGCTTCCTCCACGTGACTGAGCGTGCAAGGCTTGAATTAAATGCTTATACCCAGGGGTGTTTTTGTCTGTAGTGGATATCATCTCATCCATCATGCTTCATGCATTTATGCCCATCATTTCATCCACTTTTCTTACGTATACACTTTGATAGAGAAAGAAAAAAAAAAAGGATTTTTTTCCATTTCCTAAACTCCATTTCATAGCCTAGCTCCCCTCTTACACCCTGCACAGCTGCTGCCAGGGCCATCTCCAGCACCACCACTTCTTGCACCATGGCTCTGAGAACATCCTAGGCTGGAGACAGAAGGGCTTTTGGGCTTTTCCTTGCCCGCAACTGGAAGCAGAGTGCTTAACCACTTGGGTTTGAAGGGAGCCTTTCCAAAATGGGGGATTTTTTTCCACTCCTTCAAGGCTGTAGAGGTTCAGCAGCTGGGAGGGAAGGAGGCTTGCCCTTGAGCTGGCTGCTGGATGGAGATCTGCACACAGCTTCCTTCCTCTGTCTCCACAAGGAGATACAATTTTATAAACTCTGAGGTTCAGAAGGGGCCTTTTCCTTCATTTGGGGGGTTAACAAACAGTACTCATACAGCATAAGGGTCAGAGGTGGTCAGTTTATCCAGTTCCTTCAATTCTGTAGAGTTCGGGCAAATTTTATTACAGGCAAATTTCATTTCTCCCATCCATCTCTTATCTTTCTTCTTGTCAGGCCAGGATTTGCCCCTTGGTGTACTGTTCATTAGTCTTTCTGGGTTTAAAGGGCCCCAAACCAAACTGTGTGACCGCCCTCAGGACCCCCCAGGACCACCTCCCGACGTCCTCCTTCCTTCACCCTCCTGCCCCACTGCAAGCATCAGATCAAACACCAAGAAGCCCAGACAAAGATTTGATATTGGACTTCGCTGTGTCTGGATGGCTTATGCTGTTCCTCTGCTCCTTCTTTAAATGTGACCTTAATATTTTATTTATTGTTTAAAGGATAATGTTCATGGCAGAGGAATATATGAGGCAATAAATGGCCTTTGCAGGTAATTAAACACTGAAGAGAGCCAAAGCTATTGATAGCCATAAAAGCCATCTATTCTGAGTGTGCTGTGAAGCCAGGAGCCCTGTTCCTCATAGCATACAAGACAAGATTAAACAAGCCACAGTACTTGGAAAAAAAAAAAAGACAACATTTTTCTTGCCCTCTCAGGGCTTGAAATTTCTGAGCTGCTGTTTATGTGGTGCTTTGAACAGGAAATATCGATTGTAATAATATGTAGTTTTCTATCACGTTGCTCTTTTTCTTCTGTCAGTTTTAGCGGGGCTTTGCCCGTGGTGGCAAGAATCACTGCCCTCGCTGGACAGACGCTCAAATAAAGGCACAGCAAGGAGGGGGTGACTTACCCATGCAATCAGTGGGAAGGTCTCTGACAAAATGCAGCTCCCCAGTCCCAACCTGATGTCTTGCCTGCTGCTCACACTCTTACAACACCTTCCTACAGCACTTCTCCGGCTGCCTTGGGACAGAGCTTCTACCTCTCAAAATAACCACAGCCCAAGCTGCAGGCCAGGAAGAGCCAAGAAAGGACTGACCCAAAGGGGAAAGCAGAAGCTGCTTATCAAGCCTGATGATTCCCACATAAGCCAATGCCGCATATATTTCGAGAAACTTGCTTCAGTTTCTCTGCCCAGGATTAGGCTGGCAAGAAGTTTTAGGGCAAACATGGTTTCCTCAGGAAAATAGCACCCTTACATTGTATAGGTGCATGCCAGCAGTATGTGGGTTCTCCAGAAACAGCCTTTTGCCATGCACAGACCCTCACCCCAGGCGCTGGGTGCAGTTCCTGGGCAATGTCAGCTCTTGCTGCAAGTGATCCACGCACGCATCCACAAATCCCACCTGGCCTGCATGCAGCCATTAGCATCTGGCAGCTCCCTGCCCGCGGAGGTGAGCAATGGCTTAGGGGCATGTGCTTCAGGGCAGGGTTAAGAGGTGGCTCCCAAATGGTGTAAGTGGATTAATATGACTGGACACGACGCCGGCCTCGCCTTTCGCATCTGCCAGCGTAAATCAGGAGTGACTGCACCGAAGTCAATGCAGGTGTTCAATTCATTGGCGCACAGAGGCTGAAAGGCACGTGGTTTTAAAAGGAAGAACACCTCGATTACAAGCTGGAGAACAGACACCATGAAAAATGGGGCTGCTTCGCACGGCTTCCCGTGGGGCTTTATTACGGCCCTGCACCTTCCACACGAGACCTATCCCAACAAAGGCTCTCTCGGAGCTGTCTGCATCAAGACCTCCTGCTGTCCTTGGTTGTTGCCAGTACAGGGAACCCCTGTCCCTGCTCTGTGTAGCAGAAGGGCCCCTGTGCTGACCTTGCTGCAGAGAAATGCTGGCTCCCAGGGAGATGGAAAGGAGATTCGGGCAATGCAGCAACACAGAGAGGCTCAAGCTCCTGTGCCTAAACCTGGTGTTACTCCAGCTGTTGAATACAGCCTGTCATTATGAATAGGAATATTATTTATCTGCCTGTACCAAAAGCAGCCTCCAAGCCTATATCCTGTGGCCCAGTGCAACATTTCCTGCACCTTGCAGCCAAGCTGCCCCCCTGCTGTTGTTAGCTCCCTGCGCTGCTGGTACCAGCAGAGAGCAGCAGCCAGGCTGGGAGGAGCTGTGAGGTGTGTGTGATAGCAGGACCTGGCTCTCAGCACTCCCTTCCCAGAAACCTGGATGTCTCTGAATGCTATTTCAAACATGAGAAAGGAAAAAACAAAAGATAAAAAAACTAAACTGCTGTAGAAATGCTAAGTGCAAGCCAAAACAGTCATCTACAATCAGTGTCTCTTGTGATGCGGGATTAAAGTACACCAGCTTGCTAGCTGGTCCTGTGTCTCCTTCAGCTATTTCCCAAGACTCATGTTCCACTCTACCACGGTGCTGCTGGCAGCAGAGCTAAAAAAGCCTGGGAGCCCCACTCTGTGCCCCAGTCCCACTCCCAGGTGAGGGGAAGGAGCCCAGGCCAGCACAGTGCCCTGCCAAAGGCTGCCCCAGCCCACGCTGCCTCCAGGAGGGCCAGTGACTGCCCCCAGCAGTGGGACAGCCTTGGGATTAAGGCCTTTCCCTGCGTTTACATCCCCTGCCTGCTCTGGGACCAAGATAATGCTCTGCCTCTTCCTCAGGAGCTGGGCAGAGCCAGTGTGAATGGTGCCAGGGGTATCTGCAGTGAAATCATGTAGGAGATGCTCAGAGTGTAACAGCCATGGTAGAAACTCCAGTGATGGAGCTGCCATTCATTACACACATCATAGCAAAACCAAAAGCAAAAGCAAATACAAATGTAAATGTAAATGTAAATGCAAATGCCAGGCCTGCTGGAAGTCACTCACTCTGTGCTACTGAAACCCCTTAGCCTCTCAGAAATATTTGGGTTGCTGCAAATGACCTAGTCTAGAGGAAAACAATATTTCTTTTCAGTGTGCATTCCTGTGTTTCCTCTCTTACATTTAAGAGTGGCAGCTGGATTTCTTTGCACAAAAAGGAGGTTTGTGCACTGTGTGCACACCCTGCACTTGGCTTTGGTGTGTAAAGCACACCTGCAGTTCTTCCTGGCAAACAAACTGTGGATAATAATTGTGGACACGAAACCACGCTTCTCTCAGCTGCCAGCATACATGTATAGTTGGGTGTATGAGAGAGAGAACGTGCTCCACAAGTGCCCACATCACCACTAAAGAAAGAGAAGGCACAATAATTTGTCGGGGTGAGGCCTGCCAGTGAAGCAGAGGCTCAGGGCCTTATCTTTGCACCTTTCTTTCAATCCCCTTGAGACTTCTACCCCAGGGCTAGATATGGTTGAGGAGGCGAGAAGCTACTGACAGAAGCAAGGACAGTGGGACCACGTGAGCCTTGTTTCCTTGGGAAAAATAAATAAATAATAATAATAATGATATTAAAAGAGGCAAAGGAATACAAAATACTCAGAAAAGTATCCCTGTCACTTCTGGGGCTCCTCAACACAGTGGTTCTCAGCTGAAAGCCTCCTCTGTAGCCAACCAGGAAAAATGCTGCAGATCCACCTGCTTCCCTCTGGAAAGATCCCACGGGGACCTGCGGTTCTCCAGCATATGCAGGACAGGACCAAAAGGAGAGAGTCATCTCTTCAGCCCCATTGAACCCTGAGCACAAGTAGATCAGTCAGCCTACCTGCCTCCATCCGTCTGTTCTCGTACACCTCCGGGGTTCCTGGCGCGGCGCTGTACTGCTGGAAGGGCTGGTTGCTGAAGAGGTTGTCACACAGGAGGCTGCGACAGAGCTTCTTCAGGAAGCGCAGGACGTAGCCGATGCTGTTCACTGCCAGCAGGCTCAGGAGATGCTGCTTCCCCTCGAAAGAAGCTGAGACTGGAGAGCAAGCGAGAGCAATTCAGTACCCAGCAATGCATGGATGGGGGTTGTTTGAGAGCAGGGAAAAAGATTTCATACCACTATTTGTCTGCATGTCTTATTTTACCCAGTTACCCCACCTGAAGTACAAAACAAACCAGAGGAGCTTAAGGAGCTGAGTTCACATGAATCACATTACCTTCCCCCAGAGAAATGCAGCCAGGCATGGGCAGCAGTGCAAGGATATCTAATCCATGCATCCAACTGAATTACAGTGAATTACAAAACAAAACAAAAACAAACAAAAAGATTACAATGCAACACCCACAGTTTTAAAAGAAAATGGGGAGACAGGAACTAAAGACATGTCTGTGAACAAAATAGTGGGGTTTTACTGAAAAGAGGTCTGCCAGGCTAAATCAGGGGCCTTTTAGTGATATAATTGCATTACAGATGAAGGAAGGGTAGTAGTTGTGGTCATTAAAGTATGAGGAATCTTTTGTTAAACTGGAAATGATAGTTTGTGAGTCAGGAGAAGACAAGAGGCTGTGCCAACAGGAGAGCCTTTGTCCTGGGGGGGAACTGACAGTGGTCCATGCTGACACAGAAAGATTTTGTTGCTTTACAATACAAAAAGTACAAGGCAATCTGTCGTTTTTTTGAGGGACCCAACAAGACCTGACAGGAGGAGAAATGATGGGAGAAGCTCACTGGATGACCACAAGCCACCAAAGTGATTGAAGAAAAAGGCAAATGTATTTCTAGGAGGTTTTCAACAAGACATTTCCAAGAGAGACAAGGGAGTGTTAATTCCTGGTGAAGCCTGAAGTGCACTTGTAGGCATCATTCTGGTCATCTGGGCTCAAGAAATGTGAATTGGTGCTTTCAGAGGTGCACAGGCAGGCCACAGCGATGTTCAGGTAACAGAAAGTTTCCCTGTGGCACTGCTCCCAGCACCATCTCTGCTACGTGGTGCTGTGGGGAGACCCCTGCAGCCAGGACTCTTTTCACCAAGAGCAATCTTCCTCGTGTTGTAGAGGACCTGAAAGCAGCTCTGTGCTTCAGCCGAGTGGGATGAGGGCTGCTCTCTAGAAATACATCTAGGGTTGAACCCGAGGGTGAGAGCAGAGCAATTAAAATTCCTGGACAAAGCTGACAGCTGGGAGGGAGCTGCAATCTCAGAGCCCCACCATGGCCAGAGGGCCATCACACCTCCTGGACGGTGACTAGAAGAGGTGAGAAGTTTGCAATCATGTTGGCCAGGTGTTTTTAGCTCAGGTACCTGAGGCTGGGCCAGCTTAGATGAACTGAGACCAAAGCATCTGCCAGGCTTGGTGCACAATGTGTCTCTCCTGCTTGAAATTAAAACCATATACACAGCACAGAACCAAGAAAAAAAATGCACTAAATTACTTCAATCTCATGTTTCTGTGAACGAATCTGGATCATTCTCAGAGTATTCTGAATGTCCCTTAGGGAAGGCACACCTGTGGTTAGAGAGCTCAAAAGAGAATTAAAGGAGAGGGAGGAGGCGGTGTGGATGTGCTGCTCCCACACAGGACACGGACCCTGCACGTAGGCTTGTGGGGCATGGCTTGAATCAATCACAGCAGCTCTTCAGAGAGCATTGCTCCCACACTCCTGTCATTCCACTTCCACTGCATCCCCACAGTGCTGTGACACGAACCTCCTGATGTTATTAAATACAGAAGTTTACGTTCAGTTTGAGAGCCACGCCAGGTGACTCGGCGTGGGACACAGGAGAAGCTTTGTGTCACCCACAAATTTACTGAGGGTGCACTCTACCCCATCATCCAGATCATTAATGAAGACATTAAACAGGACCCGACCCAATTCTGATCCCCTGGGGCGCTCTGCTTGTTGCTGGCCTCCCAACCCCTAGTACACAAACACTGTACCTGGCACCATCTCGCCTCCATAGCCTGGCTTGATGAGCGAGAAGACAGCCTTCTGCTGGAGGGCGCAGTCGATACAAGCCTGGACAGCCTGCTGCAGGACCGTGGAAGGCCTCTCGGGCCCGAAGTGCTCCGGCAGTTGCTGCACTTTTTTTCGGTCGAGGTAGGGCCCCAGACTGGCTTGCTTGTTGACGTAAATGCAGACTGCGGGCACAAAACACCAACACGGTTATTACAAAACGGCCCTGAGAGCATCCCTGGCTGCTGCTGCTGCCCGTGATGCAGCTGTGGTCTCTGGAGGGTGATTTCTGGGGGGCTGTGCTCTGCTGCAGTGCCATGCCATGGCCTGTGGCAGCTTCCCGAACCCTCCACATCCATCCCAGCACCCTGCTGTGCTGCTGAGGGAAGCAGCACATCGCCTGCAGCCCAAACCCCTCCGGGGACCACAGCTGGGTGACAGTGCCACTCACGAGGGACTCAGGATGGTGCATGAGGTCTGTGCAGGCAGTTCTGCTCCACGCCATCAGGCCTGCCTGCAATAGCCAAAAAATCAGCGGTCTCCTCTTGCTCGCATGAACCTATTTAAGCCTGGCCGAGGCTAACTGCGTCTCAGAGGCATGGAGATAATATTGTGGTAACTACAGGCTACCAAGACACAGCCTGAAGTCAGGCTAAAGTGAGACATATTATAATAGCTGCCTGAGTGCGCTGGAGCTGTCATCTCTCAGACAATATAACATTATCCTCTGACAGAAATCAGATATGTGACTAAAAAACATCAAGCGGTGCGGAGGACATGATGACAGCTGCGTAAAGTTGGAAATAATTTACAGTTTGCATCACCGTAATGAAAATCTACTGCGACTGTCACAGCACGCCCTGCCACCACATCTCTCACCGAGCAGCAGAAGGGGCTCAGACAGTGTATCCTAGGTACACGGGGGCACAGTAGTGATCATACTTAACATTACACGGCACTTTACACCTTTGGAGCACTGAGTAAAACAAGGGATGGCACACCTAGCACACACGGGTCACAGGGGGCTGTCAGGACGAAGCTCTCCTGGTGTGCCATCACGTCAAGCCCCACCAAATTTGCAAAAACCAGCTTGGCCCTGCCTCCATCACCTTCATCCTTGCTCTGGCTGCAGCCTTCAGGCACCAAGCGCATCTCTCAGCACGACGTGAAATGCCACTCGGCTAGCATTTGCCAAGCACTTTGCCGCCTTCGGATGCGAAGGGACAAATGAGAATAAAATATATTATTATCGTCGTTGTCGCCACGCTTAGTATCGTTTTGCCACCAGAGCAGATGGAAAACTTCTCCTCTGTGCATCCCAGCTAAGAAATAATGGGATTTATATGTTTAGTTTAGAATGTAATGTTAGCTAATCCATTTCTCTGCTGAAATCTCGGGGTAAATCAACTGTCTTGTTGATTTTCTTCTCATTTACGTCAATTTAAAAGCACTGACTTATGTTCCTTCTGGTGTATTCTAAAATAAGCAAAACCAAAACAACAACAACAAAGCCTACCACCAGAAGTGACCAGGTCTGCTGTTGCATGTGCCTCTGGGGTTTAGGTGCTGGTTAACCCTGCCTCTGCCTGCCTTCTCCCATAGAGGTAACAGATGCTCCCTGTCCTGTCATTGCGACACAGCTGATGGGATGAGTGTTGGGAATAAACTGGTAATATTTATGGGATGCTGACGTCCACATTTCAAGAGGAATAGGTCCAAGGTCTGTACTGAACTTGACACATAGCTGTCAGAACACAGTCCTGCAGGACACATCTGCTTTGTGCGACTGGCCATCAGTCTAATCGGGAAAAATCCAATTTTCGTGAGCTCTGCTCGTTCTGGAAAACACAGCAGCTGGCCGACAGCCCGTGGGACCTGCTCACCCTCTTGCCGTGGTGCCTGTGAGCCTGCATACCTGTGAGAGCCTGTGGGGCAGCCGAGTTGGGGATGGTCGCTGCGTCCTGAGGGATCGAGCTAACATCAGGCTCCGGCGTGCTTCTCGGCGGAGAGACTGCTAAGGGAGTCATCAGAACACGAGACTTCAGCTGCAAAAAATAACCAGGGGGTGGGGATAACAAAAACATACGCCAGGTATTCCAGTTTTGCTCTGCCCGTGTCGCTCCCTGGGAGCTCCCACCCATGAGCAGTTTGCCACAGCATCCCCTTCTGCAGGAGCTCTGCCCTCGGGAGGATGCTGGAGCCCGCAGCCTGGCTGATTTGCGGCAGGCAGCGATGCCTTCAGGTGTGGGATGCAAACATGATGCCACCCACGGGGTAGTTATTTACACCTGAGCAAATTGGGTGTAACACTCTAACAAATCAGAGCAACAGCATTTTACAGCCCGTTTCGTGTGGGTGTAAATAATTCCCCCACGACTTGGAACGGGGCAGACCTGGGGTCTTTATCCACGTCATAATTCAGGGCTAAATTCTGCCCTTGCTTACAGAGGTGTAAATCTTGTGTAGATCCAGCGACACCACGAGGCTACTTGGGGCTGGCACCCGTGTAAATAACCTCAGACCGTGGTCCACAGTGTGCTGCTACCCAGTAGTAAATACAAACTGCTGCACCATTACAGTAATCTTCGTGACAGGCAGCCCGGCTTGGAGAACTGAAACACAGTGGGAATTTACAGCACGGCATCACCACGTATTTTAGGTAGAAATTAAGGCAGACCATTAGCTGCAGGCCCAAACCTCCAGCAAGTTCTGGTGGAGAGTAGAGGTTATTTTGGTTAAAGATTTATGTTGTTCGTGATTTATGGTTGCAGCTGTGTGAAATAAGCATCACTGCTTCAGTGTAAGCAAAAGCAGAAAGCTGGGGAATGGAGAGAGAAGACTGCTGGACCCAGTGTCACCAAAGTGAGATTTTTGTCATTAAATCTTTGGGATTTTGGACTATTCCCCAGGTCCAAAAGCAAGAGCTTCATTAAGATAGGATTGAGGGTCTCTCTTGCTTTCAGTAGCACAGGAGCATGTATGGGGATGGTACCTCTCAAAGCAAACAAAAATGCTGTCTTTGTTGAGTTACATGTGATTTTTGCCTGCCAGATCTCCACCAAGACCTTCTTAAACTTGCTGCTTTACAAGGTAGCCACAAACCAGAATTTCCTTCAGAGCATCCTCTGTGGAAAGGTGGGCACAGCAAGCCTGGGTGGAAATAAAGGTTCCGTTTTCCTATGTTGAAACGAGTAAACGCAGGGAAATTTTGGGTAGCCCTTATGCTAGGCTTCTGGTCTCAGTTTTGCTTGTACACATCTATATGCACATAATAAACATATGTATCTGCATATGTGTTGATGCATAGCACACACACATTTCTACAAGTACATACATCTGTATATAGATAGATATACATTTGTACATGCATATAAATAAATATATCAACACGCACACACACGGATAACAGGTCCTGGGCACCTCTGGCTGTGTGCTGCCCGTGGGGCAGAGGTTTGCCAGCCTCCATCAGGCAGCTTCCTCCACCTGCTCCTCGGCACTCGGAGGCACAGGCAGGCTCGTGTTCAAGAGCAAACAAACAGAGGGGAAGGCTTGTGTAAGCTCCCCAGCTTGGAAGCCCCTTCTTGGCAGTTTGCTGGTGTAGCGAGCAATTTACTGCAAACTTAATTGCGACAGTATGTACTCTACAGCCTCTTGATACAGAGATAAATGCCATTTTTATTAGGAGTAGCAGACGATGTGCCTTCCTTCGATCAAAATAAAACAATGCCTGATTACGGGAGATGGTGCAGCAGCAAACATGGCTTAAATATCTTCTGGACACCGAAATTCAGAGCAGACCCTGTGTATCACTAAGTGCATATCTCCAGATATTTACTTCAAAGTTTTCTTTTTCTTGGACTGACTCTTCTCTATCAAAAAGCCAACCCAATCCACCAGCTGACTGAGAGCTTGGCAGTAGAAAGCACAGACACACAGAAGTGAAACAAAGTGGTGAAGTATAGAAAAAGGGACAGTGAGGAGACAGAGCAAATCTGCCAGAGCGCTACGGGAAGTCCTCACAGTAAGGCATTTGAATCAGCTTTTGAACATCAGATGCCGTAAGTTTTAATATGTACAACATGAAATAAAAAAGGCACTTACTCTAAAACAAGACATACAAGTAGAGCCCTGCCTTACAGACCTTCTACCATGGAAAAGAGACCAGAGGAAGCAGAAACAAGATGTGCCATGACGCAACCTGCCCTGGTACTTTTCTTAAACCATGTAGACCACAGATCTTCAAGGCTTCAAGTTCCTGTGCACTGGTTGTCCCTTGTCCTGACTGCAGGACAAGGCTGGGGCTCACCCTGTGCCCACCAGCCTCTCTCCTTCCAGCCAGGAGGGCAGAGGCACCTCCTTCTCACCTTTTCTTCATGTCACACGATAGCTTTCTTCGCCACAGCAGCTCGTGCAGGGGAGTGTGCACACAGCCTCCCACATCCCCAAAGTGTTCGGCAGTGAGCGAGGCAGGTAGCCTTGAGGCGAGCGTATGAAACCTTGAAATTCAAGACCGCCTCATAGGATGGATGAATTGCTTGCAGGTGGTCTGTGCAGTCTTAATCCCAGCATCTCCCAGTCCCCAGTGCTGGTTTGTCACCATTAATTGTGACTTCCATCTTTCCCCTATGGGCACTGCCCTCTAACACCGCTCACACCCCACAACCAGGTGGCTCTGGGGCTGCAGGGACATCCTCCCCTCCTGCAGCTGCAGCAGCCCCAGGTGCCAGCTCCTCCTGCTTCCAGCCAGGACAGCAATCCCAGCCTGTCCACCAAGCTATCCTGAGGCTGCCGGCATAGACCTCTTCCTGATGAGATTCAGACAGTCAAAAAAAATACTGCGTTTAAGGAAAATGTAGTGGTTTACGGCAGATAGCTCAGCATCAGGGACAAAATGATTTTATTTTTTTTTGGAAAAGCAGCTGATGAAATTTTATAACCGAAGCTGTGAAAAAATAAAGAGGAGAGTGGGGAAAAGGTCTCTGCTCTGTGGTGAAGAGTGATGAAATGTCAGTTTGGGAAGACACAGATATTTGCTTTAATATCAATGAAAACTGACAATGGGTCATCTGGCTATAAAGAGCATGTGATTATAAATGTCTGTTATTCACATCTCAGTCAAAATAAATTTAAATCTCGGCTGTAAATTCCTAGTTTGCTAAAAATTCAGAAGTATTTTTCCATCTGCTCTGTAATAATTCAGCTATCTGGTTGCTATAAAGAATTTGGTTGTCTGCCATTTGGGCATGGATTCATTTTTTAAAATGCGTCTAAGTCTCCTGGTATCTGAAAGTCATACAATTAGCGAGCTAATTAAATCAAGCTCGAGTTACCCATCAAAAAATGCAATCTTTGACTTGTGCTCTGGCAGTGCTTTTCATGGAGAGCGGTTCACTTCGGCCGAGCGCACCCCGCACAAAGGCTCCTCTCAGAAAAACGTTGCTTGGGCGTACAAATCCTGCAACGCAAATAAATAACGCGAGGCCAGATGCCTCGGATGTTACAGATCACAAGTGTCAGCTTCAGAAACCTCAGCCATCAATTATAAAAGCAGGCCTTGCTTCTAGCTGCCACTCACCGGGAAGTAACATCATCCCCCCAGTGATGCCTGGCTGACTGGACGCTGGTCCAAAGCGCGATGCTACAGCAAATACGAGCCTGGATTTTAGCTTCTCCTGCGTACAGATGTGTGCTGGTTGGTGAAAACACTTTCTCACACTTTTTTTCAAGTTACAGATCAGTTGTAAATGCAGGTAGAAGAAATGGGGGGCAGCAGGACACTCAAGGGACACGAAGGCTGGGGTCTGCTGAGACTCCTCATGCAAGGACACCGTGAGATTTGGCAAATCACTTAATCATCCCAGGGACTCAATTTCACCACCTCTCCAAGGTGTTATTATCTCAGACGTGGATGGTTTTGATCTAAAGAGCCTACAAGTGACCCAGCAATACTGATAATAGCTTAAATTACTAGGAGGAGCAGCTAACTGAAGTAAATCAAGTCAGATGTTTCCATCCCAGGTTTTTAACCTCATACTGAAGTGAAAAATAATGTCTTGGTAAGTATTTCCATACCCCACATTTTACAAAACTCCAGAGCAATTGCCCTCATCTTTGCTTGGACATGTGGTTCTCTTTTGGGCTGCTGCTGGGCAGTTTTGGGGTAATCCAAAGAGGGATACCGAGCCTGCTCTTGGGGCAGCTCTGCTTGGCCAGCATCACTTTCCTCTGACACCTGGCAGTGACTGCTTTGCATCTGTTGCTGTTCCTGGTGAAAACCAGGAGTGTGCACTGCAAACACGCACTGTGCACCTACCTGGTGGTGGAAAGGGATGGAAAATAACACAGTGATTTACTGGCAGCAGGGCGTCTCGCTCAAACACAGCTCTTTTTCGCTCCCTGGAGTAAATTCCCCTCCTGCAGCATCATGGTCCCATCTTCCCACGGGCTGAGGTGCTCCCACATATTATTTCCAAACACTTCAAATTAAAACATTTTTAAACTTCTAAAAGAAAATTCCCTCTATTTTTTCACCAGTGCAGGTGGAAGAGAATCTGGCTGCTCTTGTTTTCCTTGCGTCGCTCCACCCAACACAGCCTCCGTTCCTCCACTTCACCTACGTTTCTAAGGCAAAACCCACCACAAACAGCAGGAGGAGGAGAAGGAGCGTGAAAACCACATATCTACCTTGTGCCCGGGCTTCCTCCCTCTCTTCTTTGGGATCTTCACGAGCGGCAGAGCCCCGGCCGGTGCGGAGAAGAGGTTGTGCACAGCCACCTTGATGGGCGCCGGCTGGAGCGGGGGCCGCCCTCGCTTCCTCCCCGCGATGCGTGGGGACTGCATGGCCACGGGGTCCCGGCTGGCGGGCGGTGGTGGGGAGGCACTCATGTGCCCAGGAGCTGCAGACAAGGCAGGAAAGGAGGGAAAGGAAAAGAGAAAAGAGGTTTTTTTATTTATTTTCCTTATCGAGGTTTTTCTTTTCAAGGTTTTTCAGCTGGAGGCAGGGCAGCCGCGCTTTTCCTCGCGTTGTCATCTTGTCATTTATTGTTGATGGTAAAGTGGTGACAGGCATGCTACAGGCTTCTCTCGGGGTGTGATTCACTGACCCCATTCAGCTCAGCTTCTCCAAAGAGAGACCAACCCCGTGTCATGCCCCGTTCTCTCCTCTGACCACGAGTGCGGTGCAGGGAGCTGGCTCAAGTGGCGAGGTCTCTGTAAGAGGTGGCTAATTGTGAATCCCACACTGGCAGGCTGACCCTGCAGGTGAGCTGATGAAGACACAATGAAGATGGTGATGAAGAGCTTTCCCACAGCCCTTAGATAACACCTTTGTGTCTCTGGTGCATCCTCACTTTGCCATCGCCAGCAAACTGGTGAGCAGCCGGCTCTGAGTTCAACATTTCCACCCTGTTTTCACAGGGGTCTGGAGGAGACCTCCTGCAGTCCCTGCCAGCCTGAACTTTTCTAGGATTTGGTGCTCCTGCAGATCCTTCCTGACCTTGGAGGTGCTACCTATATCAAAACAAGCTTCCTTCTGTTTCCTGCACAGCGTTCCCAAGCGGGGAGGCAGAGCCTCGTGGAGGGACCGCACGGCTGGTGGCAGGAGGTAGCCACCCAACAGGAGGATTGCCAAACCGTTCCTCTCTGCAGTGTTACAGCATCTGTTGCCGTGCATGCTAGCGGTGGGCTTTTGGATGTACTCCATCAAAAGCTGTTATTTCATCACAACTCCGTGCAGCTGATGAAGTTGAGCAGGGGTAATGGAGTGGAATCTGGTCCATTTCCCTCTGCCCAAGTTTTAATAAAGAAAACAAATACATGACCATACCCGGAGCAGCGAGGGAATACACAGCATTCTTCACAGCTCCTGGCGAGGGTCGCATGCTAACAGAGGTCAATAAAAAAAAAACCCTGCAGCAATAGGTTTTCAAATGTTGGTTTGTGTAGGCATCTGTTTTCCTGAGCGTGGGCAGAATACCAGCCCAGCCCCGGCCTGCACACATTGCTAGGCAGAAGCCTATGAGCAGCTCCCGTGCTTTTATGATAAACCTTGCAACATCTGACATTTTCAATTTCATGTTCCCTCAGGCCAGCGGTAAAGGAGGACTCCCTGCTTTACCCTTTTACTTCTGGCCCTCTTGCTTACAGAGGACAGCCTGAAGATGTGGTCCAAGAGCATCCTTGGAGCTCAAAAAAGAAAGCAAGCAGAGGTTTATTTATTACCGCAGACAAGCACAGATTTTTACAATACCTATGAACTCCAAAATCAAATTTGATCATTTCAGAAGCCAGCATGATCTGACTGAGCAGAGCTGACACTGCAGGCAGCAGAAATGGGGTTGTGCTCCCTTGTGGTGTGCAGGGTACCACTCAACGGGGGCTGTGTCTGGTGGGAAGGGTCTGCAGCAGGGGATTCCCTGCCCCAAGGGTAAATACGTTTTGCCTGGTCACAACTTTGAAAGCATGACTCACTAAGAAATGATTTGCTCATTTGGGCTTGCCCATTCAGTAGTTTAGTGTCTGTTGTTGGAGGAAAAAAAAATAGAGGGCTCCCAACCCTCAGTAAATGCATTTATTTGTAATATACTACAAATATATTTTTACAATAGCAGTAGGGGTATCTGCTCAGATCAGACAGATCCATTATGTAGGGCAGGAGTTACAGTTTGAATATAAATCTTCCGGTCTTTAACATCAGCTGTCTGAAACTCTCATGCAAACACTGGAGGTCTAACATCAGATTGGAAAAATCACTTTGTGACAAACCTACAGCACTTTATTTATTTATTTATTTATTTATTTACTTATTATATATATATATATTTAATTTAATTTATTTTTTAATTAAATTTTAATTTATTTTTTAAATTTAATTTTAATTGCCCAGGGACACTGTGGTTGCGTCTTTGAGGTATACTCGGTCAGATCAGGAATGGGCTGAAAGCCCTCCAGGAGGGTCTGATTTTTACCAAATAAAAGCCTGGTGTGACTGTGGGGACTGCAGTTTCAGGGTTAAAAGCATCAAGCTCACCGCAGCAGGAGTCAAACGGAAAGGCTGTCTCTGTCCCGAGCATCACCACGTTCCTTCTGTCTACAGCTGCGTGCATCTTCCTCCCCGCAGCGCTTTCTGAGTGATGCCCTCTGTCTCTCTCCCACCTCCCGAAACACCACGTCCCCCGGCTGGTACAGTACAGGCTAGCTGTGGGCAGGGAGTCGTGCAGGGAGGGGAAATGTGAGGATTATGCTGGATTTCACAGCCTGGCCGAGATCAGGAGGGCCAACTGGGCTGTGCACGCGTAATCTCAGTGAAATGCATTTGAGCTGGTACAGCAGAACCAAAAGTCACCTGCAGTACAGAAGCTGTTGTTACTGCAGTTAATTATAAGCCCAGCCATGACTTGGTTCTCATTTCTTTTATGCTAAGGGAAGTATGAAGACATCTTGGGTGACATCTGCTGTGCTACTCTGCTGCGGACCCTGGAAGGCAAGAGTGCTCCCCAGCAGCAGGGAAGGAGAGCAGAATAAGTAAAATTCACCTCTGTGTCGTGGTGGGGGGTGACAGCGTGACCTCCTTTCACAGCCAGGAGAAAGCTCTTGGCCAAACTGGAAAAACATGCAAACAAACTGTGAGTCTGCCAGAGAGATGGAGGCACCGCTTTTGGCTACCCTGAGGCCAGCATTTCACCCCCAGCTTCACTGCCAGCGAAGCCCCTCTGGGTTTCATTGCCCACACTGCTTTTTTTTAATGATTAGAAACTTTCCTCTCCCTTTCTCAATGTCCTGCTGGCTTCAGCGTGCTGGAAACCCTCGAGGACAAGGCAGGGTTGAAGGACAGGTCCTAATTTCATGGTTTCCAGCTGATGGGGTGCCCTTGGGATGTGACAGCCGGGTCCCCCTTTCTGCCACCCCCACAAAGTCAGGGCGTCCCCCCAGAAGGACTTTACCCGGTCCTGCTGGAGGCAGCTCGTGTAGCTCCGACATCTGCCACCGTCTGTGCTTGACCCTGGGAAAGCTTGGTGGCCTCCGAGCAGGTTCAGAGAACCCGATGCAAATTAAGGGCGAATTCAAGGAGGCAAATTGCAGGCTGCTGCCGAAGGCACCTCCCCAGTTCAGGAAATTGCTGTGGCATGAATAGTTGGGGATGGTATCTGGGGATGGAAATCTGTAGCTCTTTGCCCTGTCCTTGTACTTTTCCTAAGGAACTAGCATGGTGAAGCCTCAGCTTGACCTGGGTCTATCACTCTATACTTAGACTAAAAATAACAGCAAGAAACTGTTTTACATTTATGGCTTCTCTTCCTTTAATATAGGGCTAAACACGGGGTGACCTTTCCTTCTGCTCTCAAGCCATATGGTCTGGCAATTTCATTTCCAACCCTGCCTTCCTTATCGCCCCACCAGTTCCCAGGCAGGAGGTACAGGGGATGGTGAGCGCTGCAGGAAGGGTGCTGCTTTGTCCCCAGAGGACCCCAAGCAGCTGTTCATGCACAGCAGGGTGTTTCTAGCAGCCCGTGCTTTGCAACCTGCTTGCCCTGCATCGTGTCTTGGTATCCAGGCTGTAAGACTGGCAACACAGCTCACCTGGACTCAGCTGGCAAACGCAGCTGGGAGTGGAGGCAGCCACAGTGAGTTTCCTACTGAACCGGGGACTTTTGATGGACTGCAAAGATCTGTTCTTAATAAAAATAAATGCCTGTAATAAATGCAGCTTTTAACCTGCGCTCCAGTAACTGCGAGGGCTGAAGGTAAAAATATCACATTAAATTTTATGTCGGTAATTCCAGAGGATGATCATTTTAACTCGGTTTACACCGGGTCTAACGCAAACCTGTTCCTGGACTGGCACAGGGACGATGCATAGGGAAGGAGGAAACAGAACATGCCTTAAGCCAAAGCAAGGCACAGAAGTGCATTCAGGGACATGAGGCATTACACATCTCTTAATCATGAATACCAAAGCAGCACAGCTTAGCACACGAAAGGTGTTTAGTGAAGCAGGCAGCAGGAATTTTTGCTAATGAAGGCATTGAACCAATATTGGCTGCATGTCTGGATGTGGCTGCCTAATGACTCTGTATGGAGAACACCCATCTCACCACTGCTTGAAGAAAGATGGGGATAATGTCCAGCCATGGCATGGAGTCCTTCGTGGCAACTTGCAGGGCTTCCCTCTTTCCTTGCCAATTGCCTTGGGAACAGAAGTGAGAGGAAACTGCTTCTCTGAAGAGCTCTCCTGCCCATTTTGACCACAGAATTGCTACATAAAGACCTTGAAACTGTCCAGTCAACACGATCTGAGCAGAAAGACCCAATTTCCTGAACCAATTATTGAAGAAACAACACACGTATCTGTGCTAGCTGTGGGAACCAACAACGGGATTCACCTCACCTGATTTCACAGCTCAGTTCATCATCTGGCTGGGTGTCCTAATTCAGGACTATATCCCATTTCTAAAAGTTGGGTCTGACTCACCTACTTGTGACCCAACGTTAGGTATTGAAAAGACATATTTTGAGTACTTCCACCCTACCTGGAGCAGGGCTACAGCAGAGCCTATAAGCAGACACAAGGAGAAATGAATGTGCTTTTGTTCTGGGCTGTAAAAACACGGGTTTCTAATGAGCAGCAATCTTCTGTTAGAGCTGGTAGCTGTAGATCATTTTCTCCCTGCAGCACAGCAGAAATGTAGCTCTCTTTGATAACACGAAAAGTAGTAGCAGCATCCAAAGCAGCACACACCAGCATCCGTCACTGCACAGACTCTGTCTACCTTGCCCCAGAGCCATCGTCTCAGCCAGCACTGCTGGTGAGGGTGAGATGGGCAAGATTTCCTTCAGTGCCTCCATTCTGTGCCTGAGACACACACAGAAAAGAGGTGGTGTGCATTTTTTTTTAGTC